TTCACCTTCGCCTCACCGTGAAATTTTGAAAATTAAGCAAGACTTTTCATTGATATTCTTGAGGATGGAACCCTATTTAAACACTGTTTTGAACCTCACTAATATATTTTTCACTTATTGTTTTAGTTTGCATCTTAAATATCCTAGTAAATATACATTTGTTTGCTCAATAATCATGAACCACTTCCAAATGCCTTATAAGGTTTTCTTTAATTCTCACGGAAAATATTTCACAAAAATTAAAAATTTGCATTTTTAACAAAAATCATGGGTTAACACTCATGATTAAAAATCGATTTTGCAAATTCAGAATAAATCATCGTTCATTTTCACATTCGCCTCATCGCAAAATAGGTAAAAAAAGTTGGTATAGTTTGCCTTAAAACATGATTAAACCCAACCTATATACATAGTAGTTCAGAAATATTTGACAACAGTACATCCCCAAAAGGCTAAGACCCTCTACTACAAGCATGTTGTTAGTTCGGAGCGTCAGTACTAATGTGCATGCAAAAGTTATAGTATTCAAATGAAATTTCGAGATATTTTATAGATACGCAGATGGATTTATTACAAAAATTCTACGACAAGTGTAGAAGTGTGTCAAAGCTGTCTGCCAGTCCTGGACATCCACCAGATCTCTGCCTTTAGGTCCTAAAAAGAGACGCAAAACAAGAAAAGAGTAAGTGGTAGTTCAGAGGTGATGTCTTTCCTCGCCGAGACCCGTTTTCGTAGGTTTGGCCTGAAAATCCACTTTTCCAGCCAAGGTGACTTCTTTCCTCGCCTTCAATCTGCCTGGTCTAGTGGTTGTTCAGAGATACAAAGGTGACATGTGTTGCGCTCGACAAGGGCTTGAATTTTGATACAAGATTAGTCGGATTCAGTATTCGAATGAAAGATATGATGATCTGAGCTTAGGGGGGCAAAGAAGAGGAAAAACAAGGAGTACTATTTAAATAAAATAGAAAATTAGCCGCCAAGTGTTTGGAGCTCAAGGGTCCCACAAAGACGAAATTTACTCTTTTAGGGGCATTTTGGTCATTTTGCAATAAGAAAAAAATAATTTAGAAGAAAAATCGAGGATGGATTGTAACAATCTACACCTCTAAGAAATTTTCAACCCCAAATTTCTAGAACAAACTACTGGATGAGTGTAGATATTGACCATGCATATGCTCCTCAATCTCCCAAGTAGCCTAAACCTCATAATTGCTCCATAGAACATTCACTACCGGTATCACCTTGTTCCTCATAACCTTCTCTTTCCTGTCAAGGATCACTACCTTAGCTCAAATCCTGCTTTAGTTGGGGTTGCAACACTTGTGACTTATGTGGTATGTAGTTCCTCAACAAGGATACATGGAATACATCGTGTGGTATGTACTTCCTCAACAAGGATACATGGAATACATCGTGCACCCAAGATAACATTGGTGGCAGGACTAGCCTATAAGCAACTGGGCCTACGCACTCAACAATCTCATAAGGACCAATGTATTAGGAGCTTAGCTTACCCTGTTTGCCACATCCGACACTACATTTCCAGGGTGACAATTTCAAGAACGCAAATACACCAACATCATTATCACGGTCCTTAGAATGCATGTCTATTGTGCTCTTTTGCCTATCCTGGGCGACTTTTAAGTTTCGTTTAATCACCTGGATTTTCTCTTTAGTCTCATCAACCGACTCTTGCCCCTCAAGTGCTCGTTCACCCACCCATGTCCAACATAGAAGGGTTCGGCACACTTTCCCATACAATGCCTCACACGGTGTCGTATCAATGCTGGAATGATAGCTGCTGTTATAGGCGAATTCTATCGATGACAAGTGTTTATCCCAATTATCTCTAAACTAAAGAACAGATTATCTCAGCATATCTTCCAAGGTTTGGATCGTCCTTTCCGATTGACCATCTGTCTATGGGTGAAAGGCCATAGGGTACAGTAACTTTGTACCCATAGCATCCTGAAATGCTTTCGAAACCCGAAAGTGAATCTCGAGTCACTTTCTGAAAAATGGAGACAGGTAGACCATGGAATCTAATAATATGGTCTATACACATCTCTACTAGCTTACTCAGCTTGTAGTTCTTTCAACTGCCAAAAAATGCGCTAACTTAGGAAGTCGATCAACAATTACCCAAATCTCATCATATTTCAAGGAAATGGTAGGTAGCCCATATACCAAATCCATAGTGATATCTTCTCATTTCCAAGATGGAATTGGGAGTCCATGATAATCTCGAGGGTTTCTGCCTTTTTGCTTTTACTTGTTGACAAATCAAGCATTACTTCATACTCGACTATATCCATCTTCATCTCTGACTAGTAGTTGTAGGCTTAATAGTGTGGTACATTTTTCTACTGTCTATGTGCATAGCATAAGCTAAATTAGGATCTCTTCTTTAATTCACCATTCTCCTTTGGTACAAAAAGTCGGTTACCCATCATCAAAGTCCCATCTTTGCTGACAGTGAGATCTGTTCTCATTCCACTGAGGACTAAGAGCGTCGACCATCACATTAGCTTTGTCAGGATGATAATCAATGATGCAGTTGTAATCACTAATCAGCTTTATCCACCTCATATTCAATTCCTTCTGAGTGACATACTTGAAGCTTTTGTGATCTGTGAAGATACGACATGTTTCTCTGTACAGGTAATGTCTCCAAATCTTCAAAGCAAATACTGCTACAACTAACTCCAAGTCATGAGTGGGATAAATCTTTTCATGGGATTTAAGTTGTCTGGAACACATGTAATGACTCTCCCATGCTGCTTCAGCACACAACCCACACACAACCCAAACCATGTAAAAGAGCATCACTATAGATCTTGAATTCACCACTCTTATTAGGAAGTGCTAATACAAGTACATGTGTGAGATGGTATTTCAACTCCTGAAAACTTCTCACAAATTACATCCCAAATCAACTTTACTCTTTTCCTGATCAACTTTGTGAGCGGCAAAGTTATAGCTAAGAAATCCTTCACAAAAACGCCATTAGTATCCAACTAGACCAAGAAAACTTCTCACTTTAGTAACATTTTTAGGTTGCTCCCAAGCTACAATTGCAGATACCTTCTAAAGATCATCATAAATTCCCTCAACTAGAATCACATGGCCAAGAAAAACTAATATGATCCAACCAGACGTTGTACTTATTGAATTTAGCATATTATTGTTCCTTTCTCAATGAACACAATAACGAACCGATTCAACTATGGTCTAAATGCCATGTTCATTAGATCCACAAATGATACAAGAGCATTCATCAACTCAAAGACATCACTAGAAACTCATAGTGCCATAACAAGTCATGAATGCTATCTTGGGAACATCCTTTCTCGTAATAAGTAACCAATGATATCCTGATGTTAAATCTATTTTAGAGAATACACGTGCACTCTTAAGTGGATCAAACAAATCATCAATACAAGGCAAGGGATAGCAACTTTTCACTATCACCCACTGAGTTGTCTCCAATCAATACACAAACTCATACTCTCACCATTCTTCTTTACAAAGAGAAAAAGAGCACCCCAAGGTGAAGTGCTAGGTTGAATAAACCCCTTGTCTATCAAGTCCTAAAGTTGAGTTTTCAACTCTCTCAACTCAACTAGAGTCATTCGATATGGTGCTAAAGACATGGGATCAGTGCTTGGAACCAAGTTAATGATGAACTCAACTTCTCTCTCTCGCAGTAACCCAAGTAGATCCTCAGGAAATACATCAAGGTTTGTTGAAAATAGGAACATCCTCAACTCTAACAGGAGAATCTTCCTTCATCACTGCATGAGTCAAATGTCCCTCACAACCCTTTCTCAAAAGCTTATTTGCTCTCAGCGCCGAAATTATATTGTTCTGAAGAATTCTTCTTTCGTCCTAAAAAATTATATATGATCTCCCAAGTGTCCTAAGAGTGACTTCCTTAGTGTAACAGTCCACCAAGGAATAATTTTTAGATAACCAACCCATTTCCAGACTAAGGTCAATGTCAAGAATAATCAAATGAATGAAAACAGCCTCCACCATCTCATCATCGATGAAAACTGGACAACCCTTGAATGGGAATTCAAATCCAAGAGTTGTTGGTTGTGGATTAACTTTTTGGGCAAGCATCAGCGAAATAACCGAATGCGTGACACCAGGATTAATTAAAACTCTAGCTAAGTATCTAAAAGCATTTAACGTACCCATAATGACATTGGTTGGTCTGCGCATCCTACTGGGTTAGGTTGTACGATCTCCAACCCGCTTGTCCACCTGTGCGGCCCCCTCGACTCTTCTGGGGCTGACTGCCACACCTAACTAACTATACTAGGCCCTGCTACTAGATGCTACTCTTTGATTCTGTTGATACATATGTTATAGAGTACCTGCATTACAGTCTGCTCGCTAAACTCGTCCAGAGCCCATACTCTTTTCATGTTTTGTTAAGGGATATTCTCGCTGCCAATGATTTATCTAACCACACGTGTGACATGTAGAAGTGCCCCGTCTGCAATCACCATTTTGGTGTTGTCTAGATTGTCAACAATATGGACGACTTGCACTACTACCAGTACTACCAGACTATCTGCTATTAGAGAAACGAGAACTACCAGACAACCTCCCTCCAGATCGTGGAGTGTTAGTGCTAGAATTGCCACTAGAAGAAGCAAAGCTCTGTCCACTCTTCTTGAATGGTCAACGGTCTCTCAGACCTCCCACTGAAAATCTACCTCGTTGTCTGGACCCAAATCAATTGTAGCTACTACTACCAACACCAAGATTAGTAAAAGTTTCTATTCTCAAGGCTACCAGAAATTCCTCATTGTAAGTCCAACAAGGATTGGATGCGGCAGCCATTCTGATGTACTCATTAAGTTCAATATGAAATGAGTAAACAACTCATCTAGGTCTTTTTCTATGGCAAGGCAATACTTTGGGAGTTCACTATATACTTCCTCTCATACTCCGACACTCATATTACCTTGTTATAGATCCAAAAATTCTTTTTTTTTTTTTTTTTTTTTTTGGTTCTTGAACTCCGGAGAAAAGAACCTGACTTTGAAATTAGTTTTGAAACCATAGTGTTTCAAGGAAGCATTTGCATTTCAACATTCCACTGAGATCTTGCACTCTAGATGAGGAAAAATGTGGTTGTGGAAACCCAATACTTCTCAAGGCAGTTATTCATGGTTTGCAAGAGGCGCTCCATTTCCTCCAACCAATTCTCTGCTTGATCTCCATCACCTGCCCCGTCAAGGGTCAGTGCTCCCATTCTACGTGCCATCTCAAGGAAGGTGCGACCACCACCCTAACACTCTGAAAGCCTTGTGCAGTAGCATCCCTAACTAATCTAAGCCAGGAAAACTATATGGTGGAGTGATTGTTTAACGTCGAGGTGGCATTGCTCTAGCAATAAAACATAAGACACGTCCCATACGGCACTATAAGGTGCATGATTTCAGGATTCCTAAAGCTATGCTCTGAGACCAATCAGACACGTCCCGACCCAGATATCCATCTGAATCAAGTCGTGTTGGCGGACACCTATAAGGTGACGCAAGCCAAAACATGCATAAAGGATAAGAATTAAAAATTCAAGTAGGGCCTTTCAAAATTTTGGTGTAGTTTGCCTTAAAATATGATTAAAACCAACATGCATACATAATAGTTCACAAATATTTCACAACTGAACATCCCTAAAAGGCCAAACCAAACGGGTCTCAGGCCCTCCACTATAAGCATGTTCATAGTTCAGAGCATAAGTACTAATGTGCATGCGGAAGTTAAAGTATTCAAAAGAAATTCTAGATGCTTTATCCATGCACAGATGGATTTATTACAAAAATTCTATGACAAGGGTAAGGCTCCTTACATTTTGGAAGTGTGTTAGAGCTGCCAACTTTGTAAATCATCATCATCATAAAGCAAAATCATAATCATAATAATCCAAACCAACACTTACACCAATGGTAATGCAAATCACATGCCTAAGTCGGAACTCAAACCCAAATGATATGTACCTTGCCGGGACTCTAACTGGAAATGTAGACAATTGAATCCATAATAAGAAACGAGTTGGGACTTTAAACAATAATATGGATAAGTTGGGACTCTAACTGGAAATGTAGAGAATTGAACCCATAGTAAGAAACAAGTTGGGACTTTAACCCATAATATGAATAAGTTGACACTCTAACCCAAAATGTGAATAAGTTGGGGCTCTAACCCACCCCGATGACTCTAACCCAGATACGAATGGAGTTGGGCCTCTGACCCAACCAAGGGACTTTAACACATAATGAATGTCATGACAATAATGTATTCTATGGCCGTAGGAGAAAGATACTATAACATAAGTACATGTATACCAAGTGGTGTATAAGATCATAAATCCAATGGGGTGGATTATGCATGATCATGCCTATTAGTGAAACCATTATCTCAAAAAACCAAATTCCCACAATAGTTTGCATATCCAAAATCAAACCATAATTCTCAAGTATGAAGTATCAACCATAATCAACAGTAAACCACGTATAGACTTGATGACAAGTGTAGTCAAAACCATTCGAAACCATTTGTAATTATATATATATATAAGAAAACCAGATATAGGCATGATCATAATTATAGTCAAAACCATTCGAAATCATTTGTGATTATATAGAAATATAAGGAAACCATTTTATGAATACAAGGTCCACTCACAGGAACTTCGCTCTGTCCTTGTTGTGAGGAGGATGCTCTCTTAAGTGTCTAGACTGTCTAAAAGACCTTGCACCTACACAAGCCATTTTCACTCAGAAAGTATTCAAGATATAAAGGTAATTTAATATGGACAGATTCTAATGACTCGGTCTTCTAATCTCAAATTTACGTAATTCTTTGCTCACTATTTCTAGCATACAGACTCCATCATCAAAACCACACCAAAACCTTAGTAATGTCGAGAATATTTCAACACATAACCTGCCCACTTCCACACTAGACCGCAACTTCTAAGAATTACTTAATTTCACAACAACACAGCAAAGTACACCATTTACTAAACCTAGTTCTTAAACCCAAAATAAAAGGGTTTAGGGTTTTTAGTATTTTACCCAAATCGTCCGTATTCATGTCCTAACTTGCAGCTGAGCTTCGATTCCTCGTCCAGTCAACAAATCGAGTCTAAACTTCAACAAACAACCACAATTAGAATTAAAACCTTGAATTTCGAAAAGTCTTCAGAACCCAAAAGTTGAAATCAAAATAACCCACTTACATAGGTAGAAATCCCGTGAGGAGAGGATCAACTTTATCTGTTGGTCCGAGACCCATTTCCCGTCGGTTTGGCCAGAAAATCGAATTTTCCGGCGAAGGTGACTTATTTCCTCGCCTTCAATCTGCCTGGTGCAGTGGTTGTTCAGAGATTCAAAGGTGACAAAAGTGTTGGGCGCGACTACGGCATGAATTTTGATATAAGATTAGTCGAAATCGTTGTCCGAATGAAAAAGATATGATGGTTGGAGGTTAGGAGGGCAAAGGAGAGGAAAAAACAAGAACAGCAGCTTTGCTGCTGCTTCTGCACGAAGAGAAAAAGAAACGAAGCAATTTGGCAGGCTTATAGAAAGTTCAACTCGGATTTACCAAATTGCCCTTTTTATTGGAAATTTCGTAACTTTATCATCCAAAGATTCCAAACTAATGAATTTAAATCTGATTATTTATATAAAATAAAATATTATCAACCAGGTGTCTTGAGCTTGAAAGTCCCACAAAAGATGAAATTTACTTTTTTTAGGAGTATTTTGGTTATTTCATAGTTAGAGAAACTATTTTACAATAACAATTAGAAACAGATCGTGACATATAATGTTTTGAAAATTCATGTAAATTTTTTTTTTGTTGATATTTGTGTAGTTGGAGTGCCGTTTTGGCAATATTTTGGGTCGCATTACTATTTTTGTCCATCTAATATTCAGTTTTTTAGCTTAAATATTTATTAAAATTTTATTTGTGGCTCGATAAATGATAAAATTGGTCTTAAATGCATGATAAAATTGGAGATTTTATTAAAAATTAAAAAATATTTGAATTTGTTGTCAAATTTGAAGTTGCTGACAAATATGACAGCCAGGGAAAGAGATGATATTTCATATCATGCCACATCAAATTTAGCTGCTCGGTTGGAAAATATTGTTGGTGCCTTTTCTTATCATTATTGCTAATTTAATATTTTAACATCTCAAGAGGATGTTTTTACTTTTAATCATGATCGAAAATATTTTACAACAATAAAAAAATTTGTATTTTTCTCGAAGAAGTATGTGCTATTTACTTTTCAATCATGTATTGCTTCTGTTTAGACTTCAATTTTGTGGTTCTGTTGATTCCGCCAGGCTTTCGGGTTTGAAGAGGATGAATTTTATCATTTGATTTTGGCTGCAAATCTGTAATTTCAAAAAGTTAATAGTGATGAGAGTGCCACAAAAAATGTCAATTAGACATCCGAAATGCTCCGTGTTTCACCCCAGCTATCCGGAGGTTTATGCCGTTGTTTGTAGGCAAATCTATCTTGATTGGAAGAAGAAAAAAAGATTCCCTCCAGAAAAAAAGTAGTTCTTACCTTCCTCGTCGAAGGGAAGAAAACCCAAAGATATTATTCACATCGTATCCTTCAAACGATTATTGATTGCATGCTCTACAGATATTAGTGCGCAATGCCCCAAAAACTACCCAAGTTCTAAGCACCAAAACAAAAAGGCTACAAGTTTAGGGATGAAAATCCCCCATAAATTTCACCTCTAACATCCCAATGAACCCTCACAAGGAATCCCAAAGCAGCAATTATAAATAAATAAAGTATACAACTGTAAATGCTAATATACAAGTACCCCGTCCACTGTTATTGTCGTCCAAAAAGATCCTCAGATTCTGACGGGATATTCAAGCGCCCATTCAAACAAGATTGATCGTGAACGAAACATATGGATGTGCATCCGCATCACCTGCTAGACCAGGCACCCCTCCGCCAACTTCATCATCAATTTTCCAGAAGGTACTGCGTTGTTAACAAAAACATCAAGGGCATAACGTAAGAGAGACGCGTTAAAAGCACACAACATATCACACAAGGTATCTTAGTATGGTGAACATGGGTCCTCAAGTCATCTGGCATCTACACTATTCATGACTTCAACCTCACAATTGGTCAGTTATGTTTTATGGAAGAGGTGAGGTTCTCCCTTCGTGTGCAACAAACATAAAGAATGCTTATGGACTTGCCTGTTGCCACTGTCACACAACCCTTCAAGGATTGAACGCACTTTCTTCTCAGCTTTTGTAGGAGGGGATAACACACATGCCTGAAATTTCATTTCAATATCCACTGCTTAGTCAATACTAAGTGCATGGTGGTAAACCAGTGACAAAAGATGAAACTTATTTACCAAGAAATTTGGTGGTAAACCATATCTCAAAATGCTCTCTGTAAAGACACGTACAGCACAAAAATGCATCCAGGAGCTGAAAACCTGCAGGCGAGAAACGAGTGCATTTTGTTTGAAATTTCCAAAATCTGTCATAGTAGGGCATGCATATAAATGATACGACAATAGTATTAACATTTGATGATAATAGTACAACAATTCCTCCAAGAACAATTCTGGAAAACTGTAACCAAGCGACAAAGAGAGCGAACAGCAGGCATTATGTATGCAGGCTACTTAAATTAGGCCATCAGGGGAACCTTTGATTTAAGATTACTAGACAGACATCCACAATTTAATAACCCCAACTAACACAACATGACCCAAGCTACCACAATTTGGCTACATTTTTATTGCATGGCCAGTGACATAACTATGGTCGTACCCAGTGCACAAGGCTCCCGCTTTACGCAGGGTCTGGGAGAGGTGAATGTCGGCTAGCCTTACTCCCATTTATGGAGAGGCTGCTCCCAAGTCTCGAACCCGAGACCTACCGCTCATGGGCGAAGGCACTTGCCATCGCACCAAGTGCGACCTCTCAGGCTAGTGACATAACTATGAAGAAAGTAAATTGAGTGAAACGAAAATTACCTCCCCATAACTGGTATAGCACCACTGCAAAAGGGAGCCTCTTAAATTTTCTTGGTCTTGCACCAATTTTTCTAACTCCTGCTTTCGACTTTCTTGTGCTTCAGAACTGTATTCAAAATCACGAATCTGAACCACATGATAAAGAACCACAAGTCAGTTATAAAACTTCTCGGAGGGTTAAAAAAGGAATTGGGATATTTGCACCAATCATCTAGTGCAGTTACATTTATCATGAACAGTGATTTGATATTGCATGAACTGTAAAGGAGATTCACTTATGCTACTTTCATGGAAGACCAGAACAACATGCACAAAAAACAAAAGTACTCACCTGGAACCCCTTTTCACGAGCACTTGTTCTAAAGTTATCTGCGACCCGATTAAACAGTGTTACAGTGTAAAGAGCATATTCATTATCTTCAAATAACTTCTTGGAGGACCTTGGCACCTGCAAATTGCTTAACATGATCAATAAGACTGAAACAAGAAGGCTGCAATAAACATAAACAAATTAAGTCCTAGCTGTTATTTCAAAACTTTGCAAGAGAGGATGTACAAGTTCATCAACTATCTCCAACCAACTGCAATAACCTAGTGTGTTAGTAGCAGCTGAAGTAAAAAGCTATGGAGGAGGAAAATCATACCACATAGTTAGTCAGGGTCTCATAGCTTGATAGCCAATCCTTCTGAGAGTACTTGGGAACAATTGCAAGGAGAGTCACTAGATGTTCTGAAATAATGATGTCCTCTGGTTTCACTAAACCAGAAAGATCACGGACTGCTAAACTGAAAAACACCAAGAGACTTGTTAACCAAGAATCGTAATGAAAGTGGTCATACTATTGCAAGCGTTAGAGTTAAAGAATAATTATACCTTCCACTCTGCTTTCGATTGATAGAATTCAATTGACTGCGGACATTATTATACTCGGCTACTCGAACCTAACATAAGAGTCATAAAATGGTGATTTATTTTTCTTGGAAAGAGTCGGACTAAATATATAAAATTCAACTTATCATTAAGTTATGCAACTTATGCTAAGGGGTGAGTCTGGAGAAACTGAGAGCCATTAATTATAGTAGTTCACTTCTCCAGCAACAAATATCATTTGTTTTTTTCCAACAAATTGCATCATTTACCAACAACAGCTTGAGTCCTCTCATCACAACAGATAAATTCTTCTAGTGACTAAAACTTATGGAGTTTGGGAGCAGCCTCTCCATAAATGAGGGTAAGGCTAGCCGACATTCACCTCTCCCAGACCCTGCGTAAAGCGGGAACCTTGTGCACTGGGTACGACTAAAACTTATGGAGTATGTACAGTTTATCACTCCAATAAGTTTATCAAAAAAACTTGCATTACATCAATGGCAGAACTAGGTTGAAGGAAAAACGTGGAACATTACCTTGAGATCATCCTCAATCTTTGCAACTTGACCATGAATGCTGTCAACAATCTCCTTCAAAGGCGACATCGTAGGGTACTTGGCTTCATCCCAAACGAACCTACCATAATAAAAACCCAAATTCAATACTCACAGGCAGTGACCACACATAAACCAAAGCACCACACCTCAAGTTCATAATTGATCTCATTGAACCTTGAATTAATACCTGGTGAGGTATGAATCGACAGGCACTCCATCGACAGTCAGAGCGCTACTCTCCACCCCTGAAACCCTCTCGAGCTCCTCGATCTGGCGCCTGATCTTATGAGAAACACCCTCTACAAAGTTGTTGGACTGCAAATTGCCAAAAATCACAAAATATAAACTAAATTGGCAGATCGGAGCAAAACAAAATTGCATTACAAATTACATTTCAACAATGATAAAGAGAACTCTTATCCAATGAGATTCCAATCGGATAAAGATAAGGTGTCTGAAAATTATCACTGACAAAAGATAATTAATAATACATTAAGCTACCAAACAAGTTTCAGAATTCCAAAATTATTAATACAACAAATGCGAGAATACCTTTAAGAGATCGTCGCTGAGGGAGAGAAGAGAATCCAGGGTTCCAACACGGAGATTGGGAATATTGAACTGCAAAAAGTGATAGGGGTAATTAAATTGATAAGAAGAGAAATGAATTGAAAAACAAATCAGATCAGATCTTGCGAATCACAAGGAAGAAAGGAAGAGCAAGTACTCTGTAGAGGGGAGTGTCGAAGGAGTGCTTGGAGATTTGTTCCTGCAGACGGTTCCATAGAGACGACGCCGAGTTTTGAGCCGGCAGAGACACCACCCAATACCTGCTCGCCATTCAATCAATCTGCACACCCTTCTCTTCTGCTTCTTCTTCTAGCTCTGTGAGTTTGCTTCTCACTCCTCAATTCTCTCTCTGCAGAGTGCCGCTCCCCCTCCTCCTTTTATTTTCTGTATATTTCTATTTTTCTTGTTTTAATTCCTTTTTTTTTTTTCCTACCAAAATTATATATATTTATTAATAGGACCAATATTAAAATATTAAAAAAAAAACAAAAAAAACCCGGTAAACCGCACTAGAACGGAAGAACCC